CAAGTTTATTGTTGTCAAGGTAAATTTTGTAATCCATATGAGATGTAATTTCTTGATTGAGAAAGAAGAAAATTGAGATGCGGCTTGTTTAAAGGTAGATGATAATTCAACCAATAAATTTCAAAAAAGAAAAAATTCAACATAGAGAAGTCTTCAAACAAGTCTCTAGATCAAGCTAATGATTTCGAAAGTTTTTGGGCCATTGTTAAAGCTCGACAAATCTGTTACATTAACAAATCGCATGCTTAAGAAAACAAAAGTTCAGGCAAAATGACAAAAGTGACATTTTAGTAAATTTTGTAATTTGTATGAAACTTTAAATTTCTGTTATCAATGTCTTCGATACCTGCGGTAGATATCATGGTGTTCTAAGTTTGAAATATTACACAAATATGTCAGAGAAAAACTTATTTAATTCCAATAATTCGCTTAAATAAATAAACATAAAATATAGTTTACAAGTTTCAGCGTCCTCAATTACTGAACTGGGCAACATCTGGTGTTGCAAAACTGCCATATTTGTCTGAGAAATCTTTGTTTATGTCCATTATTTTGCTCAACTAAACAAAAATCAATATTTGTAACTATAATCTCCACTCATTGCATGGTGTTTAAAAGGTGACATATTTGTCTGAGAAAAATTTGAAAAAAATCTACATGTTTGCTGAAATTTGCCATCTGAAACTTACCATCATGAAAACTAGCACATGTCAATATGTAAGATTATATACTTTCCTAGTGTGAAACTTAATCCTTGGTGTATCGGAATAATCGGCCGCCAAAAATTTTGAAAGGTATCCCCGCATCCATGTTTAGGCGTAAGTAATCGATTATAACAGATTATTTTGATGATTTTTTGTCAAATACAATTGATTATAATTACCAAAATATGGTGTTTATAGGATTTATAATTGATTAAAATTGTGATAATTTCCAAGAGATTATAATCTCTTATAATCGATTATAATTGATTATAGTTCTTACAAAAAACCCTTAACATCAATTATAATCGATTATAATCGATTATAATCTTTTATTTTGCCGAAATATTGTCAATTCAAAACTACATTCGAATTATATTTTATGGGTTATTATTTTTGTGTCAATAAGAAAATCTCTAAAAGAGAGATCTCTTGAACACTTTGGTTTATCTGAACACAAGGTTTTACCACGAAATAAAAGTTTCATAGAGATCCTTTCATATGAGTGGAAAGGTTCCCGAAGTAAATGAAAAATAAATCTTCCGAATCAAACATGAAACTAAATTAATTTGCTTGTTTTGGTATTTAAAAAATGCTTAAAATATGCATCGCAAAACAACTCTAATGGGGAAGAAATGAAAAAAATAAATTTGAATTAATTGGAAAACTTTTTAAAAAAGTTTCTTTGTTTTCATAGAAACGAACGTCTACAAAAAGCATAAAATATAAGGAATTTAGATGCAACTTCGAAGACAAAATGGACAAACAAAAAAGGAGTATAATCAATAATAATCGATTAAAATGGATTTTTGTGCAAAACTAAAAAACTAGAAATTTGAGTAAAAATAATGGATTATAATCAATTATAATCAATTATAATTGTATCGAAAAATAGACGAATATTATAATTATAATTAATTATAGTTTGATTTTAAAAAGACAGATTATAATGGATTATAATCAATTATAATCAATTATAATTGTATCGAAAAATAGACGAATATTATAATTATAATTAATTATAGTTTGATTTTAAAAAGACAGATTTTAATCGATTATTAATTGATTAAAATCGATTGTTTCTCAATTTTAGTTAGACTGGTACTAAAATCGTAATATAATCAATTATTAACGCTTTAAACTGGATGCGGGTCATACTACCAATTTAATTGAACCATTGGAAACTTTGAAACCTATAATCTATCTTAATACGTTGGAAATCTATTCCCTGTTTTTATACATAGGGTGCGATCCCGGGAATCTATACCTATGCCTATTTTAATACGAGGGTTCCCCCTATTTTAATAGGTGCGGGTCCCCCCGCGCAACTTTGCCGCGGCATATATTACTTACCAATATTGAAAGATGATTTGTAATGGGCTGGCGCATAACAAAAAGTGCTATAATTTATAGATGTTCAGTTATTTAGTAGCCCAACTTATATACGGGATGTTTTTAAGTGCCATTAGGTTAGAAGAAACGAGTCAGCAAAAAAAGAGCATTCTATCTGCAAGTTAAACCCATAGATTTTAGAATTTTGATGTACTTCATTTCGCATCGACGTAAAAATGAGCATTCAACAAGTGTCTATCTAACAAAGGAGTGATTTGTATTATTCTATAAATACTACATGAAGTTGAACTGCTGTTTTTCCAACAGCTTGCTAAACATCAAAGATTGTTTTCTGTTTTTAACTTGCTCAAATATCATAACAGATTAAAATCAAAATGGAGATCATAACTTAATTTTTTGTTCCCATTAATTTTTCAAAGTTAAACTGTTATACCAATTTTTAAATAAGTGTCCTGCTCATGTTATTTTTTCATGGTTGGATTCCTGTTGTTAAAGTAAAGAATTTTCTAATACTTTTTTTGTGATTGAATATCAAAATGAAGTAAAAATTCAATTAGGTTGACTTGTTGAATTGCCCTGTTTTTTTTGATAAGACGCAATTTCAGCTTTAGGGTGAATAAAAGTCTTATGCTAAATAAAAGTTAGCAACAACAATATCATAGTTTTGACGACTTAATATAATAATAGGTAATAATTGGAGATATCAACCAATTAATTCATTTGCTTCGTAACCTATAACATGACTGCTCGTGTATCAGGCCAAAGCCCTGAATGTTCCGACTGCCCCCTAATCCATATCGAATAGTTTTTGGGAAAACAGAATGTTGAAAACTATAATTTGTGGATACCATCAACACAGGGGTTTTTCAGAAAACCGTTGTTCAATTTTTTTTCTCTCATTCAAATACCTATTCATTCATTTCGTTCCCTACGATTTTCTAACTCTAATTTTTCCAAAATTTGGAGAAAGTGACTTAAAACTTGTGCTCGGATGGCTTTCCTTTTTCTTCTCCTGACAAATTTTGATTTTTTAACTAGTAATTTTTGGTTGAAATATATATATATTTCTAAATGTTTTGTTGTCTTGATCTTAGACTTTAAAAAAATCTGCTGTGATCATTGTTCGTAAAGTAATGGCCTTTTAAAAACTGCTAGTTTGGCCAAGTGGGACAATTAACGCGCGATACATCTCGTCCTATTAACGGGCTAGCAACAATTTAACCAGTCTGAGAAATGCTTACAAAACGATTTGAGGCATGCTATTCAAACCATCGAAAACATATTGTTGTCTTGAGCTCAATTTAAAAAAAAAGTTTATTTTACCTGTGTCCATTTTTTTAGTGAATATTGGTGGTTCAAAAATTGCTAATTTGGCCAATTTGGTGTTAACGCGCGATATTTCGCGTTCTCATAATACGTGTCAGCCGCGGATTAATGCAATTCAAATTAAATTGAGGAAAAACCATTTGGTCGCATTATTAGGATAAAAGACGCTAAATGCAGCTTCTGTAGCTTACATAAGCGTGTGAGGGATAATTTTAAAAAAAGCCTTCTTTTCAATCATTTCTTCAACTTTTCAACTACGGTAAACTTTAAATGACCTTAAAGTGCAGTCGAAACATTCAGGGTTTCGCCTTGATGCACCAGCAGTCTTGCTTGTTCTATTTAAAATTTTTCTTTATGCGATATACATCATTTTAATTTTACACATCCTGTGGGATAATTTTCAAAAAATAACTCCAAAAATTTTTTTGAATTTTTTTTGAAAAAACCATCAAAATTTTTATTTCAAACACTAATCCATAGACCATAAAAACGATTTAGAACATCAAGGGCTTCGCCTTTAAGGGCTTCGGTTTAAGTTTTAAGGTAGATCGAGAAAATCAAAAGAGAGACAAGAATCGCTAAAGGAAAGCACATGTTTCTTTTCGTAAATAGTTTGATCATAAAATCACAACATCGGTCGTGGCCTTATAAATTTCCTCTAGAATGCTTATTTCTTTATTCTCTCGAATATTGTTTTTGATCGAATAGCAACGGTCAAATACATTTTCCAGATTTTTCTTATTTTGAGTCTTCGGCATTTAGCGCTTTAACTAAATATGGCTTTGTAAATAAATTAGCGGTTTGGGTATATAGCACTCTAAATCATTCCTAATTGATATAAGGTAAGCTAAATGATTCCCAAAGAGTTTCTTCAAAGAATGCTTAAAACAGTTTCAAAGGGCAGCCGGGTAATATTCACGGCTTTTAGACTAGTTTTCTTTTATGCAAACATAAACTTTCTTGACTTGTTTCTAAATTGAAAAAATTGGTTTTTCTAAGCTTTAGGGAAGCAATTAAAACGAAGATTGTCTGAGAATTTGGATTAAAATTTCAAGTCGCCAACTAGTTAAAAAGATGTCAAATTCCTGAGGGGCAACTAGTTTTCCCGAGGGATAAGGGCCTATTATGGACTGTATACATGGCCGGGAATCTATTGAATTGGTAAATGAATGGTTGATTTTCCTGAATTTATTTGCTGATGACTGGCACGAACTACTCATTTATCCGTAAAATTAGTCCCAAAAATATTGATAATTGAATTTGCGTCAGAATTAATTTTTTTAGTAATTGGAAATTGGATGGTTGTTTATCTGCAAATGTCAAGCGATTGTTTTTTTAACTAAACACAAAAACGTCACTTTAATATATTTGACCTTTCCAATTGAGACTTATTTCAATAATCCCCCTCAAGACATCAATCCTTTTAGCATAATATGCGAGAATAAAAAAGCTAACAAATCACAGTTTGACTTAATAGTGAAAAGGAGGGAGAGACGCTTTGTAGATAAAATTCTAATAAAACCAGCACATTCTAATAAAGCCATTTTTTTACATCTGTCGGTTAGAGCAAACATTTTGAAAATAAAAATATTTTCTCTAGCCTGAATTTTCAGCCAATAAAATGGACGAAGAGAAACATGCCTGTGATGTTTCCTCTTTTTTTTTGAGGCACCAGGAATACTTATACACCAATAGGACAATTTGGTATAAAATAAGTTAACCACTAATTTTGGCACCGGCATGTTTGTTAGAATGAATTATCTGATTTAGCGCCGATCTTTAAGTTTATCCAATTTTTAAATTTTCAGCTAAGTGTTCATTTATTTATAGTTAAGTGTTATAACTCGCTTATTTTTTATTTTCAGTTATTAATTTTAATTTTGTTTAGATGAGCAAAAGCGTTTTGTCAGTTACCAATAGAAACAAATTCATTTCAGATAAGCTTCAAAGTTTTGCTTAAAAAACTCAATTTAGTAGGTTGGAAACTTGACATTTCAAAAACTTTCAAGTTCCACGCGACATTTACGATCACATTGAGTCCTCTGCAAATTTCCATTTTGTTTGCCCTTAAGCTGAAGAAAATTACTCCTGTTCCAGCCTGTTCTACATATGTTAGGAAGTTTGCCCACGACATTTCCTGTAGATTTTGGAAGTGCCTGTTTTCAATTACACTTTCCCCCTCATTAGTTTGACAGGGAACATAACACTTCCATATTTCAGAAACTCTTGTAAGCATTTTCTTGAACCTTATCGAACCATCATTATTTGGTTCTTTTTCGCAACTTAGCAAAAAAACGTTTTGATTATTGTTTTACCAAAACTTGTGCCATTAATCAAACAATAAAAAACTGCATTTTGCGCCATTAATCAAACCATAGAAAAGGTGATCAGCGAAAAATTGCCAATTGGAGGTTGCTTTTTAAAAGATTAACTTTTTGATTAACTATTTGATTATTTAATTAATTGCCCTTTCTTGTTTCAGGGCCACACTTATGAATATTTGATTATAAATTCGACTACGTATTATTAAAAGCATTTTATCTTTCAAAGACATCAATTTCAGCAAAATTCGTTGTATTTTTTAGATTAAAACGTCCTTTACGTTTTTAAAAGTAATTTACACATTTAGATGACCATACAAAAATGACCAACTTAACCTTAAACATAACCCCCGATTACCACGTTGAGCCACACTTGACATTAACCCCTAATATTCTCCGATCCATCTGCACGTTCATTGCAAACCAGAGCATCTGGGTGACTGTAATCCTCGGTTGCCTGGGCAACGGTATCTGTCTGTTAGTGTTCGCCCGACGAAAACAAATCAACCCGAATGACGTGTTCATAATAACCCTGGCAGTTTTGGACTTCTGTTTTTGTTTTTCAAATGGAGTCTACTACCAAATGCGAGGCTCGGGTCCGATTTCAAACACGAGAGTAAACTGTGTGATTGAGAACTCACTCTACCACTTTCTGATTCCCTCGACTTCTTTGACTCTTCTGGCTATAACAATCGACAGGTACTGTGCTGTTTTTCACATACTGGAGCACAGAGCAATTGTCACTAACAGGTGAGACGACATTTCATATTTCAAACATTTTCATTTTTTTTTTCATATTTCAACATTTTCAGTTCGAAATTTTAGTTTTTTTTATTTCAGTTTTTTTCTTTAAATCTATTATCTTTTTTTTTCTGGATAAATGTTACTTAGATTAAACAATCAAGTCCACATAAGATAGCATTTTAAAGAAAGTTCTCAGCGGCGCTTCAACAGGTTGAATTACCTCTTGCGCTTGGTCAACTTGGCGCTCTCTCAATCATAAGTTTTCAACATTGTTGGATTATTGCACTACATTAAATAAATTTACTATGTATTTAATTTCGAAGTTTTTTCGAAATCTTTGATTGCATATAATCACAGAAAGAGACTTTCATAGACTCTAATCAACAAAAATACTTTTTTCATATGCAGGGGCGGATATGGGGGATGGCGAACTCCCCTTTCATCAGGGATTCGACCCCCTGCCGACACAAAGGGTCGCCCTTTGTACTATTTTGAGATATGAATTTTAACTGCAGGACCCAAAAATCTTTCTAAAGGCACCTTTGGCGCCAATATATTTTTAAATAGAGGGTAGAGCGCGCGTTACGACAATGTTTTTTGAAATCCCCCCCCCCCCCACTCGAAAACATCCTTGTTCCGTCCCTGTTCATATGATTTCGAATAATGCGCATTGAACTTTCTGCATCAAAAAATCACAGCGCAACCTTTTATTGAGTTAGCCTTTTTCTGAGC